AAGAAGAAGAAGAAGAAGAAGAAGAAGAAGAAGAAGAAGAAGAAGAATTATTTATTAATCTACTCATGTAATTTGTTTGTATGGCCCAACCTTTCAACTTTGGTTGAGAATGTACAAAATGTATTCCCTTTTTTTACTTCTCTGCAGCTTATTCCCTGAAAAGATCCAATGATCTCTGATGAAATTCTGACATTAGATAAAACATGTTTTACTTCAATAATTGTAGGAATTTGAATGGTTAGCAATCAAGCTGGGTTTTTTTTCAGCTGCTATTCTTTATGTCTTTAAGAAAGACTTTTCATTGCAAATCCCATACAACAGAAAGTTAGGATACAAGCATTTGTAAAAAATTTGAAATAACAGACCATAAATAAATACAGCTCCCACAATCATCTCATGGGGGAAATGGGTGGCATAAAAAATGTAATAAATAAATATAAATAAATAAAACAGATTTTCCAAATTTTACACTTTCTACTGGAAATGAATTGCTACAGTAATAATCTTACTTATGCAAGCAGTCCTCAACAGCCATTCATTTAGTGATAATTCAAAGATGCAACAGCCATGAAAAAAGTGACTTAGGACTGATCCTTGTACTTACGACCATTATAACACATCCATAGTCTCATGAGCAAAATTTGGGTGGTTGGCAACTGGCATGTATTTATGACAGTTGCACTGTCCCAGGGTCATGTGATCATCAGTTAAGAGCCCGGTGGCCCATTAAGAGCCAAGGTGGCACAGTGGTTAGAGTGCAGAACTGCAGGCTCCTTCTGACTGCAATTTGGCAGTTCAAATCTCACCAGGCTCAAGGTTAACTCAGCCTTCCATCCTTCTGAAGTCAGTAAAATAAGGACCCAGATTGTTGGGGGCAAGAAGCTGACTCTGTAAACCACTTAGAGCAGGGGTCACCAACCTTTTGGACCTCAGGGACCACCAAACTCATCATTTTAAATCCCGTGGACCATTCATATGAATTGTGATGGACAGTGGCTTGCTGACGTTGGTGGGAAAGTCAGTCCCATATTCCAAAGCTGCAGTAGTCACAGGATTGGCCCTTTGGTCATCCAGGAGCAGCTCCTCCAGTCCACGGCAGGCCAGTGCACCCAGGTGGAGGAACAGCTGCTCTGGGATGACCAAAGGGCCAATCCTGTGACTACTGCAGCTCTGGGATATGGAACCAACTTTCTCACCAACATCAGCAAGCCACCCTGGGGTGGATTTCCCTTCCCCGCCATTGGTCTTACCTTCCAGTTCTAGCTCGTGTGGTTCTACTCAAAGTAAGGTTTGCGCTCGGCCAAAGGATGGGGGGCAGTGGGTGGGTGGGTCATGTGAGCAACACAGTCTTGTGTTCCTGCACAGCCTGGATTAATTGCTTTGGGGGGTGCTTTGTGGGGGGACATTTCTCTGCGGACCACCAACATTTTCTCACGGACCACCAGTGGTCCCCGGCTCACTGGTTGGCGACCACTGGCTTAGAGAGGCCTGGAAAGCACTGTGAAGCGGTACATAAGTCTAAGTGCTATTGCTATTTATTATCTTCCCAGTCAGCTTCCGACTAGCTAAGTCCGTGCGGGAAACTGGATTCACTTAAAGATTGCATGGTTCACTTAACAATGATGGCAAAAAGGTCATGTATCGGGCAGGGACTCACTTAACCATCACCTTGCTTATCCACAAAAGTTCTGCAAAAGAAAGCTTGTACCTTCAAGGACACTGGTGATAATGCTGACCGCACTCGCTGCCCGTTGTCTCTGAAGTGGCTGGTTATAATAATCAACTGACAGTCGATGAGCTTGGACCATCTTGTTAGCTTCATCGTACAAAGACATCTGCATAGAGATACAAAACAATTGATTTAGTTGTAAATATTCCTGCTCTTTGGACACAGATAGGACCATTTATACCATCAGGCAAGTCAAAGGTTTCATGAAACTGAAATCTGAGTTCCATACAGGTAGTCCTCAATTTACAACTGGTCGCTTAGCAACTGTTTGAAGTTACAATGAACCTCCCAAGCAGTGGTGGGAATCAAAAAAATTTACTACCAGTTCTGTGGGCATGGCTGGGTGGGCATGGCAGGGAAGGATACTGTAAGACAGAGGTCTCATTCTTGCGGCCCGCAGGCCAATTGCGGCCCACAGGATGATATCCTGTGGCTCCCACCATGATATGAAAGTATAATATTAGTGCGTTCTCCATGCATCACTGGCTGCCTAACACTTCTATGTGCGGCCCAGCCTCATCCAGACTCTGCCTCCAGCGGCCCGCAGGTAAATTGTGTTTGAGACCCCTGCTGTAAGATCTCCATTCCCTCCCCACTCCTGGGGGAAGGTTACTGCTGGTTCTCCCAACTACTCGACATTTCTACTACCGGTTTTCCAGAACTGGTCAGAACCGGCTGAATACCACCTCTGCTCCCAAGCTTACTTATGTCCCAAAGTTCTGATGGTGACATGTTTGCGTGTGCACCCACCCACATACACACACCCATGCACCACAGTCACATAATGGCATTTCTGGTACACAGCAAATGGTTCAACTTTTCAGCCATTTCTGGCTAAAAAAGAAGCTATAGAACATATTGACTTGCTTGACCTTGTGTTCCTTTCTGTGTTCCTTTTCAAATTGATAAAAAATTATAGCTAGTTCTGAAGAAGTGGATAGTAAATACAAAAAGCATCCTTAATTTAACCCCAATTCTGTATTTATTTATTTTTGCTCTGTTGCATGCCACCCAGAATCTGTAGAGCAGGAGGTGTTATAAGAACTGTGGTGTTAATAAACAGATAAGGAAATAAGGGTGTTAGGACATTGCAGTATTATATTATTATGCAGTATTATGCAGTATTATGTTACATAATATTATATTTGGCATCACTTTTTTCCTTTCAGATCACATTTTACTACTATCTTTTTTAAAGGGTAGTATTCTGTCATAAAATTGTTCAGCGGGTGTCCAAACGAAGTCAGAGATGCTGCCACAAATTTGTAGTTTTATATAAATAAGTATATTTTACATCGATATATGCAGTGAATAAGATAGTCAGGCCAACAGGAGCATCGTGAGGTAAATTGCAGAGCCTGCAGAAGAAAAAAGGCGGGAAAAAGGGTAACGCCCACTCCACACCCACAGCAACCAATCACAGTGGAGATTGCCTCATGCAGGAGACAGCCCTCTCCCATCAATCAACTGTAACTATTTGTTCTGGTTCATTGTACAACTCCATTGTTCCAGCTGCTAACTTTAAATCTCTTAACACATTCCAACAAAAGTAGCCAAAAATCCAAAGAAATCCCGTCACCCTTTTTCAGACTTTTATTTAAAAGACAGATGTTTTTGTGAGTTACTGCTCATCTGATGCGCAGAGCGGCTTGACTGAAGAAGGATTTAAATTGTAAATGTGTACATTGCAAACTGCAAATGTGATTTTTAATATACAACTATACTGCTTGCTCTCCCTCTGCCATCCTGCCCCCGTTCCTCCCTGATAACAAGTCGTCCCAATCCTGAGAGACCCTGGGCTGCCTTGTCCTGCTGCTCCCCACATTCCTCCAAAGCCAATGAAGCCCCCCTTGATATACATCCAGCTCATCCTCCTCCGCAGATTCAGGCTCCGATGGGGCATGACAGACTACTTTTATGCTATGCAGTACAGTTGATATACACACACAGATATTACCTCCTTTTATGAAAATCTATTAGCCTGTGTTGTCCCAAAGGACCATTGGCCTGTGTTCCCTATTTGGGGTCCTTTAAAAAACATCTCTATCAAATGTATAACAATGTGTACAACTGTAATGTATCTGCATCATAAGCAGACCCAGACTTCAGAGGATAATTAGGACTGCAGAAAAAACAGTTACTATCAACCTGCCTTCGAGGACCTGTATACTGCACAAGTCAAAAAGAGGGCTGTGAAAATATCTACAGATCCCTCACATCCCGGACATAAACTGTTTCAACTCCTACCCTCAAAACGACGCTATAGAGCACTGCACACCAGAACAACTAGACACAAGGAGAGTTTTCCCTGAACGCCATTCCTCTGCTAAACACATAATTCCCTCAACACTGTCCAACCATTTACAAAGTCTGCATTACTATTACTGATGATCTTGTCATCACTCCTTATCACCCATCCCCTCCCACTTGTGACTGTATGAACTGTAACTTTGTTGCTTGTGGCCTTGCAATCTATATTGACTGTTTCCTAGTATGATTTTTGCTTACTGTACCCTATGACTATCATTAAGTGTTGTACCTTGTGATTCTTGACTCTCGACGAATGTATCTTTTCTTTTTATGTACACTGAGAGCATTTGCACCAACACAAATTCCTTGTGTGTCCAATCACACTTGGCCCATAAAGAATTCTATTCTATTCTATTCTATTCTATTCTATTCTATTCTATTCTATTCTATTCTATTCTATTCTTCATTCCAGTATCTAATCTAATCTATTCTATTCTTATCCCTTATTCTATTCTATTCTATTCTATTCTATTCTATTCTTCATTCCAGTATCTAATCTAATCTATTCTATTCTTATCCCTTATTCTATTCTATTCTATTCTATTCTATTCTATTCTTCATTCCAGTATCT